TTTCGATTTCGTTTTCTTTAATAAAAGCTTCTTAGATTTTGTATCTGAGAAAAAAAAAATATATATATATATATAATTCCTGAAAGTTGAGAGAAAGGTGAAAGATCCGAAGGTGAAAAATCTCGCACAAATAATAGATAAAAAGCGATCATCGATGAAGAGCGAATTGCAATAGATGGAATACCCGCAATCATTGGATAAGAGGATCGGTAAGCTCTTACAGTAATTTCGCTTCTAGTTACGCAGCGTAAATGTTCATCGTATATGATATACACACGATTGCTTCTTCGCTTGTTCGCGAAGATGTTATTTAACTTGTTGGAGAAAATTCTGCTCGACGGATAGAATCGGTTAAAAAGGTGGTCGACGATCGTTTAATTCGTTCCCGGAACGATATTATACGAGATACAATTAAACTAGTCGCTATACTTTTTCTATCCTATCCTTTAAATTGTATTGTATTGTATACGATGTATTGGAATTAATAGTGAGACATTGACATTGATCGTTTTCCAATCAAATTGTTAATAACGAGCGACGTTATTAACCCGTTCGTCGAAAAAAAATAAACGAGAAACGGATTACCGTTACACGGTCAAAGGATTATCTTCAAGGACGAAAATCTAATAAATCACCGATGTCCGTCGATCGAAATATCGTAGGAAAAAATTCTAACGGGCAAACAGCGTGTGGCGTGCCATATAATGGGCCAGGGATCGGTACATGCTATTTCGTAGCCGTCATGCAAATCGAATCAACTTTTTCTTGGAACAGACTCATGGACGATCCGGGACAAGCAGGTTCCCTTGAGTAACCACGGCGAACTGGTTTTAACATAATATTTGGCCTGCGCTCATATGTGTGGAGATATTTGTTACGCGAATGAGGTATAATTATCGGCGACAAACGCGCTTTCTTTCGTATCTCAAGGCTATTGGCGAGGGATGCTATTACGATATTAATCGAGGTGAAAACGTAACGTCTTCTCGAAAATTAGAGATCTCTCAATAGAGGTGCGTACGTTTTATCTTGGATTTTAGCTTTAGAAAAGAGAACGTGTTATTTTTAACGCATAGTACGAATAAATATTAGATCGATATATTTATCGATTCGTTGAGATTGAGGAAGATTAAAACTGACTCGAGGATCGATTGAATTTTATTAGGAAGATAAATGAAATAATTTTTCGTTGAACACGGTTGTTATATTTCATTTGAAAAGACGAAGGAATGGAATAAAGGATCGATCGATTATTTTAATCGAGAATAATCGTTTCTACACAACGCGATCTAAAAATTATTGTAGAATATGGATTAGAGAAAACTACATTCCTGTCATATTAGCTTTGAATAGAATGTATAATATAGTAAAAGATATTTTTAGGTCATACAGGGACCGTGTTAAATTTCTAATCGAATAAAACAAAATAAAAGGTAATATAAAACCGGAATGAGGATTTGCATGTACAGGATGTGATAATGGGAGAGAAACGTTGAACAGCAATGATTGGCAATTTTTTTAAACCCGAAATTCTGTGTATTCTGATCGAAGCCTGTTCGCGTGACAAGTATCATATATGCGAAACAAGGCCGGTTGCTTATATTCAATGCTGATGCCTGTATGAACTTGATCCATTAGCATTGTGCAACGTGTTGTATGTGCGTAGGCTACTCGTTTTACTCGTTCGATTTAAAACAGCTCAGCTCCATTGCGAACGGGCTATTTGCGTTTCATGATTGCCTTAACGCTCGTTTTTTCCATCTTCCTTCCTATTTACATTCGAATCAGATTTAATAAATTCATTATTTGATAAATCCTGTATCCTGTTATGTCTTAGTATATGTCTTAAAATTATTTGGTAATTTTAAAGAGGAGAAGCAGCGAACTTTCTAAGAGAAAAGGAGATCGAAAAGATACAAGGGGAGATTGAAATGATTCGAAGATGATTCAACGTCGAGTGAATATTAATGTCTTGTTAGAAGTAAACACGTGAGTAATGCGCTTAAATTATTACATATATGTATATATATATATATATATATATTTATATCTCGACGATCGAAATAAATGAGGTGAACGCAGGTTAATTAAACGCGGCCTAATGGATAATATGGAAAATAACACCGCTTTCGGACCGATCGAATTATAAAACTCGATAACCGGCAATCTTGTTGCGCTATTGCGTAATATTTATCTCTGTCGTATTAACGTTGCAAATACTTTTCAAGATTATCGAAAGTGCGACCGATCCTTCTTTTTGCCAATTAAATTTTACAAGATTTATCGAACAAAAGTGATCGAGCACGCAAGGGCTGCGCCAAGCTCATCTCGATCTCGTTCACGTAAACCTCTAATTATCATCGATTCATATGTGAGACGTAGCTTGAATTTTTCACTCTAAAACTGGTTGGTCAGGTTCCATCGAGTTTTCTCTCCAATCATTGAGTTCACGGGGTCAGTACGCAATTCCTAAAGGTGAAACGAATACCGGCGATCATCATCAGGAACAGGAACAGGGCAATGAGATCGTGGCAAGCGGCATTGTTCAAAGAATAAATGAACGGAATGTATGCCATTTTAAGATCACGAATCGGCAAGAACGATGACCTTAAAAACTAACCACGGCCACTGGCCACGGTGATTCATCTGTTTGCTCGCGTGTTAGAGAATCGTAATTAATTTTCAGAGAGATTAGAACGATGCTTTCGCGCGAAATAGAGGCTCAAAGAGGCCGTTTTCAACTCTTCCTTATATCTCATACCTTGATTACGTTTTACTCTTAAGTATACAGGAATCGAATCGCAGTTACGCTCGTTACGAATTATGGAATACCCAATCCACAATATCTAATTCGTTTCGTTTGAGATTCAGAGATTTGTTACTTTCGCGAGGAATGAATCTAATTTTTATCTCGAAAATTTTATTCATTTTTCAAAAGTGAAAGGATTATCGGTGCTCGAGTTTTCCTGGATTCTATAAAACACGATTACGTATTACGATAATTTTACAAGATAAAAAAAAAAATTTGTATATTAATTAATGACCGTTCCTTTCACTGAATCAACTGAATCGTAGAAATGTTGATCGCAACATCCGCGATATTTTTCGAATCCCGAGAAAGCAGTATGAAAGCAAACTTTTTAGGGTAACAAGCGCGATAAATCAAGGATACGACGAAGAAACCACTTTCGATCCACTATCTTCTTTTTTTTCCGTTTGTACGTTATATAGCAGAAGTTAACAATAATCGTTAAGTAATTCTCTCTAACGCTACTTTACATAACACATTTTACCTCTTTCGTTTCTCAATTTCAAACGTGATTGCAAAATTTATCGATCTTTTCTAATTATTCCGTTTATTTTATAAATCTAACGGAATGTTATTAGAGATCATTATTCATTTCGTGTCAATTAGGAATATCATTGGACAAGATAATCGCGTTTAAAAAAAGTTCACGCCAGATAATTCGTTTCGAATCATCGTGGTCTTTTGATGATTAATAATCCTTAGCTACGAACAGCTTGAACGATAAAATTTCGAAAAGCTCGTGAAAGCCAGACAAATTGACATTACATTATAGATCCTTCTGTTCATATATCATCGATATATATATATATATATATATAGATTTTTTTCCTTCCATGTGGAATTTCGTGGTCATTCTGATTCAAGGCAAAGAAGACATATGATCTTTGAAAGCAAATATTAGCTCGCTATTTCTGGAACGTTTATCAAACATTTACATTGAAGATTCGATAGATTACCAAGTAGATATAGACTTGACACGAAATTCTTTGACTACGAAATTCAATAATTGTGGAAGTTTTTCGATACTTCTTAAAACATTTTTATATTTCGAAAGTGTGAATAGATGATTGTGATTCGTTTCGAATTTCAGATCTGATAAAATATTTTTCTTATCTGATGTATCATTATATATATATATTTCTAAAAGGAAGTAATTATTTTGAATAGAAAGATATAGTTCCGGATAGTTGCAAGAAGGAAACTATTTCTTGATCATTTTTTTTTCGTTCGCCATTTTATACATTGGAATAAGAGTGATTATAATCTTTCAACTGCAGATATTAATTCCGATCTCTGAATTAAAATCTCTCACATTTAAATCAAATACAGTGAATTCTTACCGGATTTCGTTTATTAATTCGCTTTTGGCCTCTTTAGATCGCTAGAGTTTCATGTCGTTCATAAATATTTCCATAAAATAAGGTCACAAGAGGTCCCGTAAACGGAACTGTCAGATACTACAACGCAACGAGACGTTTTCAATGAGATAATAGCTTAGAGTCGTCTATAAATCAGAAATAAATAGCACATCTATGTTGTATTCTAACGTTTAACGGAGCTTTCAGCAAGTATGGTAGCGCACAGAGATCTTCTTTTATGTTAAAACGATTGAGTGTTAGTACTTACATATATATATGTATACAAAACTTCTGTTCCTCAAGAGAGAGTGGAACAACTATCTTCGATATACGATACGATCTCTTGAACAGCTCGAAGAAACCCTTTAAGTCGTAGCCAAAGAGAAAATAACATAATGATTGTTACATGTTTTCGATAAATCAGAAGAAAGTCTATAAGTGTCGTCTTTTAAATGGGAACATAATTAAGAATCTAATTGTAAGAAACTAGTCATTGTAGCAGATTGTCCCACAAGTAAAGAAATTTAATTTTGATATAAAGAAATAACAACCTGATAATTATGATTGTATTTTAATGGGACCGGTGATTCATTACGTTTTTTTAAAAAAGGATCCTCTATCCAGATGCTTTTACTTTGATCTTGGCTAGAAAATTTTTCTAGATGAGTGTATCAAGATAATTCCAAGAGATGGAAATGGTTAAGCTGTATTAAGTTACCTTTGATTCATAACAGAATTAAAATTATTCTCTCCTGTTGAAAAATATTTTTTAAAGTACTTATCGTGTGTGAAATGAAAACAAAATTATAATTTTTCAATAATTTTCAGTGATGTTCATCGTTCGCAAATTCAATTTTATTGTTGCGTATTTTTTTATACAAGAAATATACATCCTTATGTATATATTACAAAAAAATGGGAGTTCATATATAACAGATTAAAATACAAAATGTCACAAACCTTTCTCATTAAATCTCATTTTTCAAGCAATTTTGAAACCTTATCGATATTCATCATACACGCATGTGGAAGATAAGAAATCATTTTTTTGTGTATCGTCATCAATTTTTTGCGTGATTTTTTTCTCGCAATTACAATAATTATACAAAGATTTGTAATTCTTTCAATTATAAGTTAATAACGTGGATGATATGTTTTGAACAGAAAGAGAGATAAAAAGAAAAAGGAAAATAACATGAAAAAAAGGAATTCAGGATCTGATGTAATGATTTACAGGTTAAATCGATATGTCTTACCGTAAAACAACGATTTCTAGGAAAAGGCGGTCGTTCGTACTGTTATGGTAACTCTCGGATTACCAATTGACAGTGCTACTTTCAAACGAATCTAATACTTTCTATCGTTCGATTACATTTGCAGGCTGTAGCAATTCGATCGATTTATTCATTGAATTGCCTCATCAAGCATTATCGTTTTAACCACTTATCTTGAAAACACCGGGCAAAAAGCATCTTTGTACAATGGTTGCTTCGTTGGTTATAAAAACCAGTTACACATTTTATGCGATTGTCAATCCTATAGAGAATCTAAATTTCATGATACAAGTCTGATTCATAACCGCGACGTGTATTTCATTTCTTCAATTTGTCACACAGATTGATTTCATCGAGTCGAAGAATATATGTACTTGTTATTTCTTTATCTAACTACTGCTAAAATATCTCTTCGAATCACTTAACAATCACGGTTTAGACGGTTTAGTAACATGCTATCGTTACAATCCATTCCCTTCTATTCCGTTATTTTTAGAAATCGGTGTTAAAATACTTAATTCTTGATCCGAATTTGGTGGTGTTAATGTATCAGTAGGTGTTCTAGAGATTATCCGTGCTTGTACAGTCTTAGACGAGTCTCTCACAGTACCTTCCAATTGTGAACTTTTCGTTTCCATCAGATTATTTACGGTACACTTTTTGAAATGAGTCCTCATATTACTACTTTGAGAAAATCTTAATCCACAATTTGGACAAGAATAAGGTTTTGTCCCTGTATGATAATTAAGATGAGTTTTTAGATGATGTTTCTTCGTGAACGCTTTAGAACATAATGTACATTGATACGGTTTTAATCCAGAATGTAATCTCGTGTGTAACGTCATATTCGATCTATCCGCGAAAGCTTTTTGACAAACTTGACACTGATAAGGCCGTTCCCCGGAATGCGTTCTAAGATGTTGCTTTAACAACATTTTCCTAGAAAATGCTTTTCCACATTGTTCACATTGATGCGGTTTTACTCCAGTATGGATTCTAACATGCATATTGTAAGCGACTCGCTGATTAAAGCTTTTACCGCATTCCGCGCACCCATATTCTTTTCGGTTACGATGGATCTTCATATGCGAACTTAGATAGCCACGGTCGTTGAAATATTTGCCGCATTCTGGACAGGTCGCTGCGAATTCCCTAGTGCCCTCATGTACGCTTCGGTGGTACTTGTAATTTCGTAGTTGTGAAAATTGTTTACCACAGTCGGTACAACGAAAAGGTTTTTCTCCTGAGTGCGTTCTAACGTGCACCTAAATTTGCAATGGAAACGACGAATTTTTATCATCTTGTAAAATTTTTTTGTTAATTGCAGCTGATTTTTTAGTAATTAATTTGAGGAATTTTTGTAATAAAATAAAACAAGATAGATTATAAGTTGCAAAAAATTTATGTTATGTTATAATATGTTATAATGTTTAGAAAAAGCAATAGAGTAGATAATATAGAATAAGAAATTGTAAAGAATTATAAATAAAAAAAGCAGAATTTTCATATTTTGTAGGAATTATTTTACAGGATAAAAAAATCAAACTTTATTACAATAATTTGTTCCAATGATAATCATTTGAAATTTTAGCAATACAGGATAAGGAAGTGTCAAAAAAATTGCAACAATACCTTATACCGACAGTCGTTAATCAATTATAAATGTCAGTAACATGGAATATTAGACAAAAATGAAAAAAAAGCAGAAAAAGTTATCGAAAGCCAATCAGTCAATACCTTTAGAGAGGCTTTGGTAACGAAAGTCTTGCCACACTGATCGCACCTATGATTCTCCTGCGCTCCTTTTCCCCGAACAGCATCCTGACTAACGATGGCATCATTATTGTTCTTATCACTGTTGATAATGACTCTCTCTACGAGGTTATCGTCGATCCTCGCCTCTTTCTCCGAATTCTCAGCTTCTAGGTTTGTAAAATGATCGATTTTACCGGTCGACTCGATCGTATCGCATAATCTGCTAACAGGATGAGAGATTTCCGGCTTCTGCTGCGATTGAACTAGCGTTTGCCCGAAATAACCACCCTTTTTATTGATATTTATCTGACTATTCTCCATAGGACACGGCAACGTTCTCGTTGTAGAAATTATATTATTTTGAGATTGTAATATCGTCTCGCTGTTTATAATATCATTGTTCATCGATGTAATCATTTGCGTAATCGTCGACGAAGGGATTTGAGGGGAATAAAACTCTTGAGGTCTCGATATCGAGGTAGAATTTGCTTCCAATAATTTGCTACCATTATGATACGTGACCTCGTGAGTAGTAGGAACTTCAACACCATAATAATGATCCGCAGAGTTTTTAGAGAACTGTCGATTAGGACTGGTAGAGATCACAGAAGATCGCGTAGTTTCCAGCACACGTAGATTTTCCTCGCTTCTCTGAAACAAAATCATCGAAACCTTTACTTCCTTTCTCTATCTTCTATCTTTCATCGCTGATAATTAACGTTATTAATACAACTCGTAAGCTTTAATTAATCTCCTCTCTCTCTTCCTCTCTCATCTTTATTCCATCATTCGATTTCTTCGTTTGAGTTTAATCACTTTTTTAAAACAATTAATTGATTAGAGAAAATCATCAGAAACGATCGAGGATTAATTTCGTTCGGAGGAAGTGTAAATTCGATCGATATAATTATCAATTCTTAATTAATTTTTGTTTTCAAGTTACAGGACTCAATTAATTGATAACATTGTAAACATTCCATACATCTATATTTGATTTTATCGGCTTGATCCGGTTTTTGTATTTATCACTTCGATATCGATCCATGGAACGATTATTCCAACAAAAGCAAATGGATATTAGAATGTACGGTTATCTAAGTGGAATATTATATACGAGCAATATATTAAATGATAAAAACAGTAATTTAATACCACATTCTCTAATGATATTTAATGTATTAATCGAATTATGTTTACGGAAACAGTGACAATTATTTTAAAAATATAACGCAACATGAGAAAAGAATATAGATAGAAATAATGTTGCACAAGATCAATTAGCAATGCATCGTATCTTTGCATGATCTTATCTTTGTAAAGTAAATAAATTCGTAATTTTTATTCCCAAAAATATATATCTTAATATATATCTAAATATTAAAATCTTTCACTCGATTTCTACTCGATACGCAGCTCAAGTATCAATTTTCACATCGCTAAAATCATGTGTGTATGTGAAACATCAACAATACGCTCTTTTAAAAAGAAAGGTGCAACTGTGCTGCAACTGTGAGTGAAAGAAAAATAAAGAGGAAGATTTCGCGTTGAGATACGCAGAATCAGGTTGCGCAAGGTTGTAAAGTAATCGGAAAAAATCTGGAGCATATCAGTGCACGTGTCGAAAGAGAAAACGCTCCTCTCCAGATTACTTGTAATAACACGTAAAAGGGTTTCTCGCAGCTGGCCTGTGCTACCAGCTGGTCTGGCACCTTCTGGCACCAATCTGGAAAAAGAACGGAGTGGAAAAAAAAAAAATAACGCGACAGAGAAGGGAAAAAAAAAGGGAGGTCCAAACGGAAAGGGAGAATGAAGGAAGGGGGGGGGAAAAAGAAGAAAAAGAAGAAAGAGCAAAGAAATTCATCGCGTGTAATTGATAGTTTCATTAATAAGAATGACATTGGGCCAAGCAGCTGGTGTTGTGGACAAATTTTATCACCTGGCACCATCGAATTAACCATGGCCCGCTAAATGACTGGACTGCAGAAGTGCACACCCGGAGAAGCACTGATTCCTCTGCATATTTCAACAGAAGAAAGCAAAATGAACGGCTGGCATATCGAGACGCGCACGATTCAACGGCGTGCTTTCATTTGTGGTGAAAGGTCGATGAAGAATAAGTGGGTCCTGCTTGTACTCCCGGCTCTTCTCGCTTCTTTCTTGTTTCCTTTATAAATAACAAGCGATCGGTTTGTACAGGGTGGTTTGCATCAATCGGTCGTCATGATATGTCGAGCAACCGCATCGATAATAGAAATTTAATAAGAAAGATAAAAAAAGGAATCGAGGAACAATACTTCGAAAGTATATTTCTTTTTTATAAAAAAAAAGAAATCGTTTAGCGTTTCTTCTTCCTCTTCTTTTTTTTTTTAAATCGTATCTTGGATTAAAAATCTCTTTACAATTCTCCTTACAACCTCACTTTATGACCGTGTCTTGTCTCTAACATCGTCGAGCAATCGATTTTCATTAGAGCGTCTGGTATGTATTGATTGAAGGACGAGTAACTTCACGTTGTTCCTCTTA